AATAAACTTTATAAATGGAGCTAAATATAAAATAATAATTAGCTATAAGATGACATTTAGGTAGGATATCATAGTTGTTGGACATTAACAGTAAATTTTACTCACATATTGTGATCTGCTGTTAAATCTGGATGTGTGTGCTGTTTCCTGCCACCAGAGGTCATCAGAGAACTTGAACACAAACTAACTGATGACTGTTGTTGGATTTCAAGGTTTTCTGTCCAGACAGCTGCTCTTCTGTCAGAGCAGCTGGTTCACATGTTTGTGTTCTAGGCTGCATTTGAAGTGTGTGTGTGTGTGTGTTTTCATTTAGTGCTGCAGCCTTCAGGGTTTAATTGTTAACGTCATTAAAAATTTTAAATACATCTGATTGGACGTGTTTCAGAGCTCAGTGTGATAGAAACGACATTAAAGCAGCTTTTAAACTGTTTCTAATCAACAAGGTTAAACATCCAGATATGTATTTGTTGAAGATTAAATGCTCAACTTTGTCGTAGTGTTACATATACACATGTTTTGTTCGTTAATGCTTCGTTTTTAGAGATCTTTTGAATGTGATATCTGTTGTTGCATCCCAGTGTTTCACGTGTTCTGTTGTGTGAATAAAATGTACTGACGCTGACTCACCTGCTGCTGTTTTCTGACTCCAGGAGACATCAGTCAGAAGACGACGTGGCATCGTGTCTCCGTGTTCAAACCTGGCCTCAGAGACGTGGCCTACCAGCACGTCAAGAAAGGGTACGAAGCTCATGTTACCTGTACAGGCAGAGGGTTAGGCTCTCAATGCATCTGTTTAGTTTTACTTTGGGTTTGTTTACTGGATATTTTTTACTTTTTTTATAAGTTCACAGTAGAATGGTGGAGAGAGGATGGCTCATGTGGTTTGTGTCTTAAGTGATATTTGGTGCATAATTTATATTTTAGACTCTTAAAGAAAACTGACTTTACAAACCTATTTTGTGCAGCAGCTCTTTAATTATTTTGATGTAATTTAATTTATGTCAGTTATTGGATTACTGTGGTGACAAGAAATACACAATCCAAAATACATCTTCTCAAACCACCACTGCAGCTTCTATTAAATCAGAACTTCAGTAAAATTGGAGACAGATTTAAAAACAAAATAAAGATGCTGAAGTCAAAGCAGCAGAAGCAAAGATATCAAACTCTACAAACACTACAACTTGCGTTTCCCATAATTTACTTCATCAGAACCTGCCTACCTCCTACATTTACACAATTTTCTATTTAAAGTGTCAAAACACATAAATGCATGAAGGAAACTGAAACATGAGCCAAGAAGGTTTTCTGGCTCTTGTGCTGCCGTCATGTTGTGCAGCTCACTGCATGTGTTCATTAGACTTTACATTAGACTGATTTGTACAAATAAATCTCATTTTTCTAGGCTTTGGGGAAGCTTTGCAAATATTTACCTCAATGCTATAAAAATGAATAATAGAGAGCATAAACAAAGTAAGCATGAACGAAATCCAAGTCAGTCCAGAACCTCTCAGTTAATTTTCGATTATCAAGGCTTCCTCTGTACCGTCATCGCATTCAACCAGCTTCACATTAGAGACACAGCTGGGCTCGGCCCTGCATGAGCAGCGCTGGGTGGAAATCTGTTAGAATGGGAAGGAGGCCAGACGGATTCTGCCAGACCGAATGAAACACGAGCCCTTCCATTCGTCCGGTTCCCAGGATACCACAAGTGGCCACGGGGGGAAAAAGCAGCAAGTCTGAGGGGTGGTGACGCATCAGTTCTCCTAAGACACTGACATCCAAACCCAAGCCAACAGCCCAGCATTATCATCAGGGGTATTCTCTCAGACTTTAACATGATGACACTATTCTCACAGGAGGAATGATGATTCGCCGTGACGAGTAAATCTCATGTAAAGATCAGTGGAGTTCTCACTTTAACATCATAAACTGTGAAAAGAGGATTGTTGGGGGGTACAAAAAGTGCTTCTTATTAGTATTTCTGTCTAACAATGTAACATTAATTGTTAAAGGCTAAATAGGTAGGAAGTAATTTATAAAGTTTAGGGTGGAAAACACCCTACAGTATTTTCTATTGAACACTGATGGTGTGTTAAGACTGCTGGTGGAAAAAGCAACGGGCTGAAAGCATTTGCATTAGAAGCTGGTGATAAGAGGCCACAAACTGACACTTGAAGGGGTGTCATGGTCGACCAATCAAAGTAAAGCAGGCCACAAGTTTTTTTAAGCACTCCAGTGATGCGGCGAAGAGTAGACCAGTCATCGTTTCTACTTTGTGTCACTGTAACCACAACCTCCTGCTTTATCCTGACGTAGAAATGAAGGACAAACTCCCCATTAGCCAGTTCTCAGTGCTGTTTGTTAACTAACTTTGAACAATGTCAATGAGCACATGGTCATTCCAGCAGCAACCCACACTGTCTTGTCACTTTTTTGCTTGTCACGTGAAAGTAAATTAAGAGTAAAACTAAAATACTTATCTGAACAGCCGTTACACATTTTTTGGTTAAATTAAATCCCGATTGGTGCATGGAAGTACGACTTATACCAGTTCATTACTGCTCATTTTAAACCAGTAAGACAATCTCAGAAGCAAAACTACAGACTTTTGTTTGACAATGTATCTATGTGGCCGTTAAACCATCAAAATCCACCTCCTCAAATATGAAATTTTCAAAGAGTGGAACTGTTGAAATCGTCCTGTGAGCAACGTTACTGAAGCTTGGTCTCTTTCAGGTCGAGGATTCTCGTGGAGGGAAAACTGGACTATGGGGAGTACGTGGACAAGAACCAAGTCAGACGTCAGGCCACCACCATCATCGCAGGTCAGATTCAACACACTCCCACACATCTGCTCTCTCAACACTTCACTTAACATCTCACCTCCCTCTTCCTGCTTTTCCTCCACAGACAACATCGTCTTCCTGAGCGACAACATTAGAGACAGAACCTGAAGGATTTTCCTCTTCATCCAACATCTACGCAACTTCTTTTTGTATTTTCTTGTTTATAAAAATATAAGACTGAAGGACACCAAGTACAGGAACTGAACTGTTCTGATCTGCCAGAAGGGGGCGAGAATAAACTGACTCACTGATCATGTTTGACTATGGCGCCTCCTGCTGGTGGAAGAGAAGACTTTGAGGCTTCAGGAGGAGCAGAAACAACCATCTCCTGTAGTAAATACACGCTTACTGATTACGAGTCTGATTGTGCTCTTTGCACATAGTAGTCACAAATATATATAGAAAAACCCTTCATGTGTGAAAATAATGTTGCCAGCAGGAGTTTAAGGGATGAAAATACAGTGAAACATTTTTGGTAATTTTGCCCACTTGCCTCAAAAAGCTTCTTATACACCATAACTCTGAGTTTGTGACTCAGTGCAAAGTTTTGAAAAGTTGTAGCTCTGTTGAGAGCAGCTATTACTCATGTTGGAAACCGTTTTAGTTTCATTGTGTCAGTTAAGAAGAAGTGCTGCATCGTGAGCAAGATAAATTCACCCTGTGGCCCTCCCACCCCTCGCATCGTCCACCATTTCCTTATTGCAGCTTCCCCTGGTGTTTTATTTGAAAGTAAAATAGCTGCAAAACCTGAGCAAAATTGCCTCTTTCAAATGGTTCCTGCCCCTTTAATCTTAGGGATTAAGTATTCTTTCATGGGTTAAAACTACCTCCTTTTCCTTAATCTAAATAAACCTAAAGCTAAATCTGAAAAGTGTTTTCAGAAGCTCTAAACAAGAATGCTCTTATTTGCTGGTGAGGTTTTGTTTTGCAGATAGCCCAGTAACATGAGTTCTGATTTTACACAGAAAACCAGAATCTTTCTAAAACTTGACACCTTTAGAGAAACCAGAGGACAGCTGATCATTATGTCTTTGATTTTAATGGAGCTGATTCCTTTGTCATACTCAAGCAAAAAGCAGGTTAGTGTGAGAACTCAATGGGATAAATGAAACATCAGTTGCTAGCAGTGTGCTTTTTTTTTTTTTTGGCCACTCAGCTCGAATCTAAATCACTATTGTACAATAAAGTACTACTCTGTCATGTGACCACAGTTTGGCCCTTGTGAACCTTGAGATATCTCGTTGTTTCAGCTTGTGTCATGTCCAGATGTGACTTGACTTGATGCCAAATGTCAGCTGCCCATGCAAATGTCTCATGATTAACGGTTCAGTTGGACAGAAAAGTGCAGGTCACTGAAGCACTTAAAGGTAAACAAAGAAAAAAAAAGAGGTCAGTGTGCAAATTTAGAACATTTTTACCCCGTTGCATTTTGTTTTCCTGTCTGAACGCCTGAGTTGTGCACTGTTCTCACTGCGTGGTGTACTGATAATGGCAGGTTGGTTCATGTTGTCTGTTTTCTGCTCTGTCACTCTTCTGTCAGTTTCTATCACACTCATCTGTTTTTGTTTCCTGTCTGACAGTGACTGGTTGCTTTCAGTTAACCACTGTCGCCTAATGTCTCTGTAATGGTTGCTTCAATAGACTTTTTTTTTCCAGAACATGATTGTCATGATGTCTGTGTTCACTTCTTATAACTATAACATGTATGATTTAACCACCCAGTGTTCATTAGTGTTCCTAAATTAACCTATAAAGCTCTTGATAGTGGAGAAAAATAGAACATATATTAAAAACAAGCTTAGAAACATTGAAAATATACATATAATAAATGTAAGCTTATCACAGTCAGATGCAGGTATTTGTACAAAGTGTTAGTATATTTTAAGACGACATGTGAACTGAAATCAAGCACTTAATTATTCAATTAACCTAGTTTTTGCTACAGGACATCGATTGGTTGTTTCTGCGACACAGGGGGCGGGTTTGAGTCAAAGGTATTCTTGGCCTAATCTAATTGGCTACAAGAAGTCCGTATGTCTTTTCTTATTGGCTGCGTCGCCTGTCACTTAAAGGCTCGCCGGGGCAGCGCTGCACGGTCAAACGGACTTTAAACACAGGAGCGCTCTGATTGGTCAGTTGGCTGAACGTGGGCGGGACCTGTAAGTTGTGT